GGAAATAAACAAAAGAAACGCGTGCGCATGCACACACACACACACACACACACACAGAGTAGAGAAACAAGTCCCCCAAAGTTCAGCAAGTTTGCCTTAAAAGAGTTCCAATCCAAAACAGCAGGCACAAGAGTGGTCAAAAGAAGTCCAAGGGTCCAAATGTTGTAAAAGTTTCATCAGCCAATCCAGGTCCAGAGTCCATGAGGTTTCAAATTAGGAGTCAAGGCACACAGAGTCTGGGAAAACAAATGGTCATTCCCCCAGAGAAGCTTGAGCTTGCTGCTCTTAAACAGAAGCAGTCCTGGTGTTGCTCATCTGGAAGGATGAGGCTCCTTTCTTGCAAGGAGCCTTGCAGAGCACCTTTGCTCTGCTCTCCTCTCCACACGGTGAGCACTTGCACTGGGAGGGGGTGGCAGCTCAGACTCTTCAACTTCAGAGACTGTGCCTGCTGGTTACTGGACAGCCCCACCTCCTCTGCCTGCAGCTCCTCAGACAGCAGTTCCAGCAACTCTGGAACTGGTTGCTCATTGTTAGTCTCCTCATCTGAGTCTGAGCTCACCATGACAATTTATTAGTTTTCTTGGCTGTCCATGGTATTCTCAGGAGTCTTTTCCAACACCAAAGTTCCAAAGCAACAATATTCTTCCTATCCTGCTTCTTCAAAGCCCAACTTTTGCTTCTACAGAGTATCACAGGGAATACCATGGCTTGCACAATTCTGATCTTTGTTGTTGAACTGGAAAAAAACCCTGAAAATTTTGTGTATGCAAGACTGTATCAAGATCTGAGATGTTCCAGGTCAAGTTATGAATAGACTGAGAATTCTTTGAGAACACTTTTCTGATAAAATTCTTATATTCCCTATGGTCACAGAATGGCCATATAAGAGAATATCTTGGTCCAATGGATGACTACCAGAGGTAAATGAATGCTCACAACATGATGTATGAGGTAACCCAGCAATCAAACTGAAGCAATCCAGCACTATGTATAAAAGAGTGCTGGAAAAGCCAAAGTCCCATCATGGTTCCACTCCATCAAGGGTCATCTCAAACAGCACTCTAAGGGGACTTTCTGTGCCCTTTTGTCCCCTGGCCAGCCCAAAAAAGGGTCTCTGGTATACGTAAGATTTGAGTGGCAAAGAGATAGAGAGAATGTGATATGCTTAAATTGCTAAAATAAAGCTTTCAAAATTTACTGGTAATCTCCTAGAATTATTGGGTAGCAAACCCTGAGTTTGTTCTGGTGCTGGATAAAAATTCCTAATTCTATAGAAACACTCAGATCCCTTACAATGAATCAATATTTAAGCATTATATTACATGTTCGTATTTGATCTTGGCATCTTTGTTAAGTACCTGACTAGACTAAAAATGGTCTTATCTTACAAAATCCAAACGTCTGTTTTTGTCAGACAATCAATAGCTCCCATTTTAAGATTATTTCTAATGAGTCTTACTATTTTGGTGCAAAGTTACTAGAGGAATCAATCTGAACAGACCCTCCTCCACCACCTCTTTGTGTGCTTTTTAAATGGCCCCCCAAAATAAAATGATTCCTGTAAAACCTTATACATTTTTATGACTTCAGCAACCAACTTACAAGAACTAATTCCAGCAAGGGCTACTCTATCCTATTAGTTTTGCAGGCAGAAGAGGGACAGAGGTGAGTGAGAGATATTGCAAAATGTTCTGCCCAGCCAATGACATCATTTATCCTAGCTGAGAATGTACAATGAAATGCTATCTACTGCTTCTGTCAATCTTGTCCCCTCCACAAGCACCAGATAGCTCTTTAAGTTATCTGCAAACATGAGGAAGGGGCGTTCAGCCTTGTCCTCTCTGCCCTAAAGGATAGCTTCCTACTGACCTGAGTAATACAGGTAGTCCCCAGGTTAAGAACACCTCGTTTAAAGATGACCCATAGTTAAGGATGGAGCCTATTGTAGCAATATTTGAGTTAAATACACAATGGTTTGGGTTAAATAAACAATGGTACCAGTTAATTACACACTACTACTTACATAATATTATACAATAATACTGTTCCAACTTACATGCAAATTCAACTTAAGGACAGACCTTGGGAATGGAATTTGTCCTTAAACTGGGGCTACTTGTTATTTCTCTTCTAATTATACTCATACAATCTACAAATACTTTGGAGTTTCCTGAAATCCAGCCTAGTGTCCTGGTTACTTTCCATGGTATATCTCTTATGCCAAGATCGCTATCTCCTTGCAAATGCAAGTACTGTATCTTCTATGAACCAAGCACTTCAAGCAGAGATCAAGCGTGGGAGATTATCACCTCTCTAAAGAGGAAATCACATCAGGCCTTCACAAGATGGGTCATTCACCAGGAAACCTAGATTCTTAAGATTTAGTGAATCAATGCCTGGCATGATCCACATCAACAGTGCAGCTTAGCTCCATCTCCTCAATAGCAACTAAAGGAGGTCTTCTGAAAATCCTTCTGTTTCTTAGTCTTTCCTCCCCAGCAGCAGAGCCTCAGAAATGCAGCAACTGAGCTTGTTAAAAATCTCCACTGGGGCCAATGGAAGCTTGGTAATAAAGTAATTATGTGTAGGATGGAAAGTCAGACTGAAAGCCATGGAGCAGATAATGAGGGCTGGGGGAAGAATTTCCCCTTATATCTTATTCTTTTTCATAGAAAAAAGCAGGGTATGTAGCACAGGCCTTTGTGACTGACAGCATCCATGTCAGGCAGATTTAATACTATATACACAAAGAATGCTGATATTCTTGTATTTTACCTGGTCAGCCTAGCAGTATTTTTGGTTTTCTCGCTGACATTCAGTCCATAGTACTTGACAGCCTGAGTCCCCAGTCTGCTCCCCATATTCCAGCATTTCTAATTCAGGGCTAATGCATAGATAGGTATTGCAAAAATGTTTAGTTGGTCATCATAACAACACAATAAATACTTCCACAACGCAACATTCATTAAGGAATTTTTTTTAAAAAAAACCCTAAAAAGAAGGAATTTCAAAAGAACTAAAAAGGAAAGGGATTCACTTCTACTTCTATGAGCATTGGATTAGCTGTTCCTTCCCTTTTCTAAAAGCCCTGTCATAAATTGCCCCTTATCAGAATCACAGAAATGCTTAATAAACCAACAACGTCTCTGATACACTTAGTATTTTTATACTGACACAGACACCCAGAGAGACACACAAAACATAAGGAGATTTCAAATGGGAACATATAAGAAGATGCGTAAGCTTTTCCTGAAAAGATTATCCCAAGGTGGTGGTGGTGGTGGTGGTGGTGGTGACCATTTAATTACTGAAGACACCTGGGGAGTCTATAAAATTCAAGACCTCAATTTTACAACAGTGTTAAAAGTTTCTGGTATGGATAGAACCATGTAAATCAGCTCCTCAGACAACAAAGCAGTTTGTTAAGATGAAAAGTGAGAGGCCTATTCATATAAAGAAAGAGGAGTCATCCCAATCATT